CACTTGTGTTCGTGCGATGTCGACTCCCACGTTGAACTTATCGATGGCGATGCTGTTTTCGACGAGCCGGCGGACGCACCCGCATTCCAATAGAGCGACAATCAGGACATCAAGATCGACCAGACAAAGCTGATCACAACGATCGAGGTCATCGACGACTTGCCGTTCATTTTTTGCAAGGTGTTCGACGGCGGAGCTGAGCGACCTTCGTCGGGCTGGCAGAAATGCACAAGCTGCTGGATTGCTGCAGACTCCACTGTGCGAGGTGGATCAGGTATGTACGGCAACATACAGAGACACATGCTACTATGATACTCATCTGGAGATGCGGTTCCGCTTTGACTGCGAGGCGGATTTGTGCAACATGAACTTCAACCCATTCAGTCCCTGGGCCAAGGAATTGCCGAACATTTACAGACATACTCCTTTCCTGTTTACTATGATGGCGGAGATGAGTTGGGATGATAGAGAGGATATGGTACTATCTCGTTGGACCCCGCACCTGTTTGGCATTCTTCAGAGCGATGCTGCGCTTCGTTCGCCAACGACACCTGCATCGGACACTTTCAAGAATCGTCCAGTTCTGGCATCCCTCCCTGGTTAGTCCCTGGGAATCGTCCGTACTGTCCGACCAGAAGTACAACGACATGCTGACGGACCCGATCAGAGACCAATTTAACCTCAGGGCTACCGCCGCTCCGCCGCCCGCTGATGAGAACATCCCCGTCGCTGGCCCTGGAAGCGTTGCGTCGGCCGTTGCCGCCGCGCAGGGGCAGCTCATTGAGGTGGCGCGTTCCGATTATGCCGATGGCATGTGCGGCGCCAAAGACGACGATGCACTGGATCAGGAGCTCCGCCGCAGAGCGGAGAAATTCTTCCGATACCATCAATGCGCGGCCTCAGCGCACCGTGATCGCGACCAGATCTTGGACGGGGATCTCTCTGACCCTACGATCGACAAGGGATTCCGATCATAGGCCGATGATCTCGCCACCGACCGCGCCACCTTCGTTCCGAATCGTGTTGTTCGTGAGATCGGCCGAAAGTTGGGCGCCGGTGGCAACGCCCGCAGGTTGAGTCAGCAATTGATCGAGAACGGACCTGCTGAATGCCAGACCGCAAAGCAGCATTGTGCCAGCTGCTACCGCGACCTCCCGACCTCCCCACTGACGACTCAAACGAAGATGGCCTGTGCCAGGTTGGCACTGAGTCATTTCAGCATGGTGGAACAGCTTCGTATCAGGTCCATGTGCTGGCTGATGTGCGCAACTGGGTCCGCGATCAGATGGGCGCGAACATCGTGCGCCAAATCATGCACTCGGATATCCAGATTCGCGGATGAATCCGCTAACAAGGACTACCTTCGCAGGCTGGCTAACGAAGCCGTGATCCGACGCGCCAAGTGGTTGGGGGCTGGCAGTCCCAGCCCTGGCCAATGTCGCGTCGGTGGGCGGGAAGTCGCTGACAGGGAGGGAACGGCCATCTATCATCCGTATCCCGACCGTGCTGTCAAGGAGGGGGCGATCCTCTATCGCCCGTATCCCGACCATGCCCATCGATTTCAGTAAGATGGTGTATTCCACCGTCAGATGACGGAAGACACAATGCAGGCGCACCAGTGGTCATTCACGATCGATGACATGCGCGAGGGGTTGCGCCTGCATCGCGAGAGTCAGCGGCTCGGATATGCTTGCCGGCGGGCATAGGCTCCCGGAGCAATGTCTCGCGGCGAGCGGCTTGACCGTGGGTTCTGAACCTTTTCCGCTCCTTCTGGGAGGGGGCGAGCTCAAATGAAGCGCGCCACGTTGGGCGATCTTCGGAAGCAGGTGCCCGCGGGCGCTGCCGCGGGTAAGGGCGGCGACTTCTGTTGCCTCCGGTGAACCCATTCGCCTCGCCCCTGCTCCGCCACCCCCGCGCCGCGATGGCCCCGCTCCTGCCTATGCTCCCGGCGGCGCTGGCTGCGGTGGCGCTGCGGGCAGGACTGGCGGAGCTGCTCAGTCATCGACGTCGCGCCGTGCCTCGACGCCACCGTGGCGCGAGCGCGACCGCGATGACGAGCGTGGCCGTAGCAGGAGCGCCGTACGCGAGCACCGCAATGTATACACCTGGTGGCGTTGCGGACTCCAGCGCTACCAACGCGTTGCGTACTGTTACTGGCCAACTTACTTGTCCCACTGGATCTTTGTCGGCAGCGACGATAACGAATGCATATATATATATATGGTTATGTGGCAACTACCAAACTATCACTATCAGCTGGTTCAATGTATACGGGGACCGTGTTTGGGACGAGCGTTACTATGAGAACGGGGCGTGATTATTGATTGACATATTTTACTGCGTATCTGGTTTTTTATTTATAGATATATTATCACTACATATTCGGGGTCTTGATTTGATATCATTCTGTTTGTTATTCGTATGCGTATCGTAATGTCTTGACATATGTAACGTTCGATGGGCAATATTTGATTTGACACTGTATGCCGATATTGATTTTGATTTGCATGATATGATCTGGCAATCGGACATACACGCACCCAGGCGCAATACCTGCGTCAAATAATGCTGGTGCCAGTTTTTTTCTCCCTTTCCCTTGCTATCCCATCCCTGTCACCTGTGGTGACGGAGTGCCGTCCAGGAGTGCCGAAGCGTTTTTTTTGGGGCGCACCCTGGGCCCGCTAAGTCGGGTAGACACACCCAAGGACCCCGAGTGGTGGGGTTGGTCTTCTCCCTCACCTTCCTAGACAATGCACCCTCGTTTGGAAGGGCGGAGGATGAAACGGGGCCTTGGGTGGGCTTCGCATCTCTGTTCCCGATCCCTGCCGTTGTCTCCCGTGGGCCCGAGGCCGGCGGGAGCTGGCAGGTTTCGGGGCGGTGTGTGTGTGTGTGTGTGTGTGTGTGCAGTCCGCTTTGTTGCCTCCCTTCCGCAACTGTATTGGCTCAGGTATTGGCATACTGACAACAGAGCATTGCACGCTGCGCGGTGCTTTGGAAAAAAAAAATCCTCCTCCTCGCCTTTACCTACATACCCCGTAGAGGAACGGCCCCCCCGCCGTCTCCTTGTACTCACACCTGACACGTCCCTTGGCACGTTCCGTGGGGCGTCCCTTGGCGAGCCCCCCCTGGCACGTCGCGTGGCGCGTCCCCTGGCACATCCCGTGGCGCATCCATTGGTGCGCTCCGTATCGCGTCCCCTTGGCACGTCCCGCGGTGCGTTCCCATGTCACGTCCCCTGGCACGTCGCCTGGCGCGTCCCTTGGGACGTTCCGCGGCGCGTCGTTTTGGCGTGCCCCCCTGTCATTTAGCTCTGGGGCAGCTAGTATGTGTTCAGGCAGCTCGAGCTTAAGATCCATATCAGTTCGTTCAGGATTCGGATGCAAAGGTGGACCCCATTTACAACGCTATAGACCACACCCGCGACATGTCACATCGCAATTCAGCACGGCGCAGCACGACACAGTTTTCGGCACTCAACATCACGACCGATACAGTCAGCATTGCATGTGCCCGTCACCCAATCAGGTGTCATTGAAAACGCTGCCGTGCGTTACGTTTCTATATTCTTTTCCCGGTTCGTGGATCGATCATGTTTTGCAGATGTTGATGGTGATGTTTTTGGTGATGAAAATGGTGGTGATAGCGGAGCTGATGATGATGATGATGATGATGATGATGATGATGATGATGAGGAGGATGGTGATGATGATGATGGTGATGATGATGATGCTGGCGATGTCAATAATTATGATGACGATGGTGGTGGTGATGATGATGATGATGGGGTTGGTGATGATGATTGTGATGATGATGCTGATGGTGGTGGTGGTGGCGGTGGGACGAGGCGCATGAATAAGGATAGCGGGAGAAGGCTGTGAGGGAGAGGCCAGGGGGTTGAGGGACGATGAGGGGGACGAGGCGGAGGATAATGGGCAGGCGGAGGAGGGGCGAGGAAGAGGAGGATGAGTATAATGATGTTGATGGTGGTGAGGACACAGATGATGATGATGACCACGAGGAGGGCGAGGATGAGGATGAGGATGAAGATGAGGTTGAGGATGCGGGTGATGCGGATGCTGCTGCTGATGATGGTGATGATGATGATGATGATAATGCTGATGATGCTGATGCTGATGCTGATGCTGATGCTGATGCTGATGCTGATGCTGATGCTGATGCTGATGAGGATGATGATGATGCTGATGATGATGATGATGATGCTGGTCGTCATGATGAGGATGTTGTGGTTGATGGTGATGTTGATGGTGTTGGTGGTGACTGTGATGGTGATGGTGATGGTTGCGATGGTAATGGTGATGGTGATTGCAATGATGCTGATGATGACGACGCTGATGATGATTATGATGATGATGCTGGTGATAATGATGATGATGATGATGATGACGATGATGATGATGATGATGATGATGATGATGATGATCGTGGTGGAGGTGATGCTGATGGTGATGTTGATGGTGATGATGTTGTTGATGATGATGAGATGATGCTGTTGATGATGCTGATCATGATCATGATCATGATGTTGATGATTATGATGATGATGATGATGATGATGATGATGATGATGATGATGATGATGATGATGAGGATGATGATGATGATGATGATGATGATGCAGCTGCTGCTGCTGATGATGATGCTGATGATGATGATTGTTGTGGTAGTGGTGATGGTACTGCAGAGGTAGCATCTGATGATTGTTCGGCTTATTACGGTGCTGATGATCATGGTGGTAGTGTTGACGATGGTGGCGATGGTCCTTGTGAAATGCTGCTCCTGATGATGATGATGATTCTGATGATGACGACGATGACGATGATGATGATGATGATGATGATGATGATGATGATGATGATGATGATGATGATGATGATGATGATGAGGATGAGGAGGAGGAGGAGGAGGAGGATGGGGGAGGAGGAGGGCGAGGAGGAGGAAGCAGAGGAAGTTAACGACCGATGACGACGACGGCGCTCGAGGCGTTCGACATCAAGAACCCGAAGACTGGGAAGAAGCTTGACCGCGAGGCCCCTGGGTTCCGCACGCCTCTTGGCCTGCCAGCGTTGCCGATCAACCTCGCCATCACCGTCGCCATCGCCATCGCCATCGCCATCGCCGGGTTCCTTGCCATCGCCATCGCCGTCGCCATCGCCGTCGTTTTTGCCGGAGGAGGAGGAGGAAGAGGAGGAGGAGGAGGAGGAGGAGGAGGAGGAGGAGGAGGAGGGGGAGGATGAGGAGGAGATGGAGGAGCTGGAAAAGGAGGGAGAGGACAGGTCGCTGCGCCAGCTACCCCCCTCCTCCCCCTTCCCCATTCTGCATGAGGTTTGCGCTGCTTTCGCCGTTTGCTGCTCATGCACGCGAAGGAATTCTACAGTCTCTGCTGTATGGCGCCACCGCATGAAGACACTGCGGATGGTAGTCAGCTCTGCCCTTCTTGCCTCGTTCTTTCTTCCTCCTCTCCCACCTGTTCTTTCTCCTCTCCCTCGTTGTGGACAGCAAGCCAGCAGAGACACTTTGGATCCCGCAGGGTATTTATTCATTCATTCCCCTCCTTTCTCTAACTTTTGGCGTTGATCATCGCATTTGCATGTTTGGCCTGCTCAGAGATTCGGGTAACGAGCTCTTCGACGTCTGCTGCATTGCGATCTTCTGCTGGACGGCGGTCAGGCCTGCCGCATGAGAGCGCTCTGCAGGTGGCATGGCCAGCCCCCCCCCCTCTCGCGGGCGAGTGCGGTGGCAGGCCTGATGCACTGGCAGGCTCGCCGCCACGGCTCGCCGCCACGGCTCGCCGCCACGGCTTGCCGCCACGGCTCGCCGCCACGGCTCGCCGCCACGGCTTGCCGCCACGGCTTGCCGCCACGGCTCCAACCGCCCCAGTCTCGCCAGCGAGGCAGCGGACGCTGTCCGCTGGCTCGAGGCTCGCGGGCGAGGCCAGGGTAGGCGGCGCCAGCGCCGTCTGACGGGGCCAGCGCCGCCGCTGCCCAGGCTGCCGCGCCGGCCGAGCTGTCACAGCTCGAGGCCGCCAGCGTCCAGGCGCCCTTGCGGACGACGATCTGCTGGGGTTCAGCGGCTACCTCGGCAGGTCTCCTGCTGCAGTGCGCTCCGCCAGCTGGCCCTCACCATGCCACGTCGCCGCAGATTGCCCGCGGCCTGCCGTGCCACGGGGGCCTGGCTCATGTTGCCTGGTGGTCAGCCCCCCCCTCTCATCAGCAAGCGTGGCCTCAGCGTTGCACGGCGCACTCCGGGCGCCCTGACCACGGGTGTCCAATCTCGTGCGGCCTTTCTCCCCTCCCCCCTCGCCCCTCCTGGTTCAGGGTTCGGTTTCGGGCGCGCCGCTCGGCCTGGCGCTCTTGCGCACCTGAGGTCGTGCGGCGGAGTTATTTTTGAGGATGTCTCAAGCGAAACGCTTGTTTTTCAGAATTTGTTGAGGACGGCTCGAGCGAAACGCTTGTTTTGTGTTGTAGATTGTCCTCTCCTGGGGGCCAGAATTCAGAGGATCTCTCAAGTGAAATGCTTGTTTTCACGTGCCCAGGTCTTGAGGATGTCTCGAGCGAGACGCTTGGTTTCACGCCTCCAGGTTGCCCAGGCAGAGCTAGCGCCAGGATTTGTTGAGGATGTTTCGAGTGAGACGCTTGGTTTCACGCATCCTCGTCGCCCAGGCGGCTGTCTAGCATGAGGATGTGTTGAGGAAGTCTCGACCGAGATGCCTGTTTGCACGTGTCCAGGTTGTCCAGGCGGATACCTTGCATGAGGATGTGTTGAGAATGTCTCGAGGGATACGCTTGTTTTCACGTGTCCAGTTCGCCCAGGCGGATGTCTAACATGAAGATGTGTTGAGGATGTCTCGAGCGAGACGTTTGCTTTCACGTGTGCAGGTCGCCCAGGCGGATGTCTAGAAAGAGGAGGTATTGAAAACGTCTCGAGCGAACTGCTTGTTTTCGCGTGCCCAGGTCACCCAGGCGGACGTCTCACATGAAACTGTGTTGAGGATGTCTCGAGCGAATCACTTGTTTTCACGTGTCCAGTTCGCCCAGGCGGATGTCTAGCATGAGAATGTGTTGAGGATGTGTTGAGCGAAACGCTTGTTTTAACGTGTCCAGGTCGCTCAGGCGGATGTCTAGCATGAGGATTTTGACAGCATGTCTCGAGCGAAACGCTTGTCCCCAGCACGTGCCGTAGCGCGTCCCCTTGGCACGTCCCGCGGTGCGTCCCCATGGCACGTACGTCCCCTGGCACGTCTCTTGGCGCGTCCCTTGAGACGTTCCGCGGTGCGTCCTCCTGGCATGTCCCTTTGTCAGTTAGCTGTGGGGCAGCTACTATGTGTTCAGGCAGCTCGAGCTTAAGACCCAGATCAGTTCGGTCAGGACTCGGATGCAAAGGAGGACTCGATCCACGACGCTATAGAGCACAATCGCGGCATGGCACATCGCAATTCAGCACGGCGCAGCACAGCACAGATTTCGGCACGGTACATCAAGATCGATACACTCAACATTGCAACCTGGCACGTTCCTTGGCACGTTCCGTGGAGCGTCCCTTGGCGAGTCCCCCTGGCACGTCGCGCGGCGCGTCCCCTGGCACATCCCGTGGCACTTCCATTGGCACGTTCCGTAGCGCGTCCCCTCGGCACGTCCCGCGGTGCGATCCCATGGCACGTCCCCTGGCACGTTGCCTGGCGCGTCCCTTGGGACGTTCCGCGGCGCGTCCTCCCAGCATGCCCCCCCTGTCAATTAGCTCTGGTGCAGCTACTAAGTGTTCAGGCAGCTCGAGCTTGAGATCCAGATCAGTTCGGTCAGGACTCGGATGCAAAGGAGGACTCGATCCACGACGCTATAGAGCACAATCGCGGCATGGCACGTCGCAGTTCAGCACGGTGCAGCACAGCACAGCCCTCGGCACAGTACATCAAGATCGATACATTCAGCATTGCATTTGCCCGCCACCCAATCAGGTGTCTTTGAAAACGTTGCCACGCGTTACATTTCTATACTCCTTTCCGGGTTCGTGGGTCGATCATGTACGTGTCCAGGCCGATCTAACATGATTGTCCCGAGCTGGCACCATGTGTTTTTCTCGTGTCCAGGCCTTCCAGGGGGATATCTAACATAGTTGTCCCGAGCAAGGACCATGTGCTTTGACGTGTCCAGGCCACCCATGGGTGTATCCAACATGGTTGCCCAGAGCTGGTCCCACGTGTGTTTACGTGTCCAGGCTACCCAGGGGGATACCTAACATGGTTGTCCCGAGCTTGAACCATGTGTTTTAACGTGTCCGGGCCGCCCAGGGTGGTATCTAACATGATTGTCCCGAGCTGGCACCACGTGTTTTTACGTGTGCAGGCCACCCAGGGGGATATCTAACATAGTTGCCCCGAGCAAGGATCACGTGTTTTAACGTGTCCAGGCCACCCATGGGTGTATCCAACATGGTTACCCAGAGCTGGTCCCACGTGTGTTTACGTGTCCAGGCCACCCAGGGGGTATCTAACATAATTGCCCCGAGCTTGCACCACGTGTTTTTACGTGTGCAGGCCATCTAGGGGTATCTAACATGGACTTCCTGGGGCCTTCCAGGGGGCCTGGAACGGACGTCTGACATGAAGATGTGTTGAGGATGTCTCGAGTGAACCACTTGTTTTCTCTTCCAGTTCGCTCAGGCGGATGTCTAGCATGAGGTGGCACGTCCATCGGCACGTTCCGTAGCGCGTCCACTTTGGCACGTCCCGCGGTGCGTCCCTTGGCACGTCCCCTGGCACGTCGCCTGGCTTGTCCCTTGGGACGTTCCGCGGCGCGTCCTCCTGGCATGTTCCCCTGTCATATAGTTCTGGGGGAGCTACTCTGTGCTCAGGCAGCTCGAGCTTAAGATCCAGATCAGTTCGGTCAGGACTCGGATGCAAAGGAGGACTCGATCCACAACGCTATCGAGCACACTCGCGGCATGGCACATCGCAATTCAGCACGGCGCAGCACAGCACAGCCCTCGGCACGGTGAATCAAGATCGATACACTCAGCATTGCAACCTGGCACGTTCCCTGGCACGTTCCGTGGCGCGTCCCGTGGCGAGTCCCCCCGGCACGTCGCGCGGCGCGTCCCCTGGCACGTCCTGTGGCACGTCCATTGGTACGCTCCGTAGCACGTCCCCTTGGCACGTTCCGCGGTGCGACCCCATGGCACGTCCCCTGGCACGTCGCCTGGCGCGTCCCTTGGGACGTTCCGCGGCGCGTCCCCCTGGCATGTCCCCTTGTCATTTAGCTGTGGGGCAGCTACTATTCTCAGGCAGCTCGAGCTTAAGATCCAGATCAGTTCGGTCAGGACTCGGATGCAAAGGAGGACTCGATCCACAACACTACTATAGAGCACACTCGCGGCATGGTACATCGCAGTTCAGTACGGCGCAGCACAGCACAGCCCTCGGCACGGTACATCAAGATCGACAAACTCAGCATTGCATTTGCCCGTTGTCCAATCAGGTGTCGTTGAAGACGTTGCCATGCGTTGCATTTCTATATTCCTTTCCGGGATCGTGGGTCGATCATGTTCCCGGAAAGGGGTGGGGCCCAGGGTTCTCTTTTAGAGGCTTACCCTTGGAATTGACGGCTGTAGGGCCAGCGAAACTATTTTTGAGGATGTCTCGAGCGAAACGCATGGTTTCATAATTTGTTGAGGATGTCTTGAGCGAAACGCTTGTTTAGTGTTAGATATTGTCCTCTCCTGGGGACCAGAATTCAGAGGATCTCTCAAGTGAAATGCTTGTTTTCACGTGCCCAGGTCTTGAGGATGTCTCGAGCGAAACGCTTGGTTTCACATGTCCAGGTTGCTCAGGCAGAGGTCTAGCGCCAGGATTTGTTGAGGATATCTCGAGCGAGACGCTTGGTTTCACGCGTCCTCGTCGCCCAGGCGGCTGTCTAGCATGAGGATGTGTTGAGGAAGTCTCGATCGAGATGCTTGTTTGCACGCGTCCAGGTTGCCCAGGTGGATGCCTAGCATTAGGATGTGTTGAGAATGTCTCGAGAGATACGCTTGTTTTCACGTGTCCAGGTCGCCCAGGCGGATGTCTAACATGAAGATGTGTTGAGGATGTATCGAGCGAGACGTTTGCTTTCACGTGTACAGGTCGCCCAGGCGGATGTCTAGAATGAGGAGGTGTTGAAAACGTCTCGAGCGAACTGCTTGTTTTCACGTGCCCAGGTCACCCAAGCGGACGTCTCACATGAAGATATGTTGAGGATGCTTCGAGCGAACCACTTGCTTTCACGTGTCCAGTTCGCCCAGGCGGATGTCCAGCATGAGAATGTGTTGAGGATGTGTTGAGCGAAACGCTTGTCCCCAGCACGTTCCGTAGCGCGTCCCCTTGGCACGTCCCGCGGTGCGACCCCATGGCACGTCCCCTGGCACGTCGCTTGGCGCGTCCCTTGAGACGTTCCGCGGCGCGTCCTCCTGGCATGTCCCCCTGTCAATTAGCTCTGGGGCAGCTACTATGTGTTCAGGCAGCTCGAGCTTAAGATCCAGATCAGTTCGGTCAGGACTCGGATGCAAAGGAGGACTCGATCCACAACGCTATAGAGCACAATCGCGGCATGGCACATCGCAATTCAGCACGGCGCAGCACAGCACAGCTCTCGGCAGGGTACATCAAGATCGATACATTCGGCATTGCAACCTGGCACGTTCTTTGGTACGTTCCGTGGGGCGTCCCTTGGCGAGTCTCCCTGGCACGTCGCGTGGCGCGTCCCCTGGCACATTCCGTGGCACTTCCATTGGCACGTTCCGTAGCGCGTCCCCTTGGCACGTTCCGCGGTGCGACCCCATGGCACGTCCCCTGGCACGTCGCCTGGCGCGTCCCTTGGGACGTTTCGCGGCGCGTCCTCCTGGCATGTCTCCCTGTCAATTAGCTCTGGGGCAGCTGTTCAGGCAGCTCGAGCTTAAGATCCAGATCAGTT